TTCGCCTGACGTTTCGATATCCGTCGCGGATTCGTCATCAGAGACATGAGTCATGAGACATGAGACATGGTAGTCTTGTCTCTGATGACGAATCCGCGACGGATATCGAAACGTCAGGCGAATAAAATGTCTCTGATGACGAATCCGCGACGGATATCGAAACGTCAGGCGAATAAACACATTGTCCCAGCGATCGAGTCTTCTTCTTCTCACCTGAGAACCTCGTCCATTCAGGATTTTCGGGGCCCACGGGTGGGGTGTGCACCAAGGTCGCAAGTAGTAAGCGACTGCTAACCTTCAGTAGCCTGTCAACTATAAAAGTCGTCAGAACGAACTGCGTTTGGATTGGGATGCACGGCTACAGAGGCGGGCATGAGATCAAACTTTATAGATTCTCAGTTCTGGCAAATCCCTCCTCTACGTCAAAAATGTCTTGTAGGCTGCCGACAACATGTTAAAATTGCACACAATTTGCAGACACTCAACCGGCTTCGGGCTTTAGGCTGAGGCACTCTGAGCTATTGAACCACACAACCAGAGTCTTTTACGGGCTTACTTTAAACCCCGCTCGTTTTCGCTCCATCCCCTTCGCACACTCCTTAAGTCGTATCACTGGGGTTAAAGGGCTAGGGCCAAGGTTTAGCGCAGGAATAGGCTATAGGCGTAGGTTTGGATTTAGACGTGTTTTCAACTTCAGCCACGACAAACATAAATCTAATTCAACGATACATTCGTACTTTCTCCCTTATTGTTATTGCCCAGAGGTAAGTTCGTCAGGAATAGCCAACCAGTGCTCTCCAGTTCCTACTTTCCAGTATTTCAAATTACGCGCCCGCCATTTCACGCACTATTGGTGTATATAGACCAGCCGATGGTTTAAATTTCCTCTTTCTTATCATTTGCTTCTCTGAAACAGCTATCCCAGGAGGTTAAGTAAGTTAAACCCAAGCAACTGCGATCTTCAGACCATGGTTACTTAGTGAAGAAAAAGTATTGGGGAGGCCAGAGCGTTAGGAACTGTATATTGTGTACACAGAGGAACGGAGAATAGATGCAAAGAGATTTGACTTGGGAGCACACGACCAGCCAGAAGGGCCGGCCGGGTCCAAGTGCCAGTTTGACAGCAGTTGGCCAGTGGACAGAGAGAGCAATTCACGCTATTCGTCTCCGTGCTAAGAACGCAGGATTGCGGCAACTGTGATTGGCTGTTCGCAGACGTCGAGAACCGCAGTCGTGAGA